AGACCGCGAAGGGGAGGGCCTATGAAAGAGGTTTTCACGACGGCCGAGTAATTGGAATCGAAAAGACCAGGGAGAAGCTTGCCGAAGAAGTTGCCAATGTGAAAATCATGGGTTTAGGCACGGTTGGCATGCGTCTACGCGCTGCCCGACGAGAAATGGAGAAGAACGAGGAGCGTATACGAAGTTTGGAGGCTCGCGCGGAGGCGGCAGAACGCGAGTTAAGAAAGGTGAAGGCGGCTCAAGGACAACCCGCGGGGCAGGGGAACCCAATCGTGGAAGAGAGGGTTACCAGTTGGCTCATCAGTGCTGCGATCGCCGATCGGGAGACGGCGAGTATGTTCGCGTTGGAGACCGCGAAGGGGAGGGCCTATGAAAGAGGTTTTCACGACGGCTGAGTAATTGGAATCGAAAAGACCAGGGAGAAGCTTGCCGAAGAAGTTTGCCGATGTGAAAATCGTGGGTTTAGGCACGGTTGGATCAAGGCATCTCAAGTCGCGGAGACTCTTCGGGCGTCGAGCATAGATTCGGCATCACCACTCTACCATAGTAAACACTTTCCGTTTTCCGCATTTGAAGTAGAGAAGAGTGAGGATGAGGGTGACGTTGTATGAGGTTCAAACGCAAGTTGCGTTCGATGCTATGTAATTTATGGTTTTATTGAATGAAAAACGTTTTATTAAAGATATTTCGTTCCTGTTCATACTCGGCATATAGGCATTTTGAATGAATGTACAAACATTGATCAGCTCTAATATCTGTTAAGTGCCCAACGGTGCGCCAGTTTATAGGCAGGGTCAGCCCGGTTTATAGCCGCTTATTTCCGAGTGTCGCCATTGACTTGAGGAAGCCGAAGAGTTTGGCTAGTCTGCCAGAGCTTCGAGCGGCATAGGCCGGCTGGGGCAATTAAATTGAGTATATTGGCTAATAGAGTCTAGATGCTTGGCCAGCGCATATGCTTTAAAAAGTGAATGTCAACCGACGTTGGTCTCATGGGGTTTTGCGTTAATGAAATTGCCTCGGGGTCACTGCCCGCCTATTAAAAATAAATGGAAAGGGCTCTTCGAGTTGGTGTCCTCATTGATATTAACTCCATTCATTGCATGGGATTATATAACATTGTGGATGTCAAACAGAGTTTCCTTAGTCAGGCAAACTCGAATCTTGGCCGAGCTTGATGCTGTAATGGATCGTGGCGGAGAATTCTCCGGTGAGGGAGGTAAAACAGGAAGCACGTCAGCCTCCAAGTCGTCGAAGCAGATTGCCCCGAAAGGAGTTGCAACGACCGCTGCCCCTAACCTTCCATGTCTTGGATCTTAGCCTTGACATTGTCGATGGTGTCAGAGGAAGGTCCAGCGATACGCTGAATCGGGCACGGTTGGATCAAGGCATTTTGAGCCCCGAAGGCTTTTCGAATGACAAGCGTTGATTCGTCTTAGAAGTTAGAGATAGATATTGTAATGTTTGAACGCGGATTGCGTCTATGTATCAACTGTTTGATCAAATAAAAAGTTTCATTTCAAACAATTGCGTCTTACTCTGAAAATCTTTTTTTGTTTAGTTAAGCACCTTATTTCGAATGTTGGCATGCTTTGTTCGAGTATTGTTATAGTGATAGTTTTTGTTTAACAATCTGCGTATATAAAATTTTTTGAGTTGTGCTCAGCTTGCTACTGAAAAGATTAGTGATATCGTTTGCAGTTATGATTGGATCGGCCGTGTAGCTTAGGTATTTACCCTATATTAATGAATCGGCCTCTGGCTTAGCCGGGGCGCAAGCTTGGGAACCTGAATGGGTCATACTCGTGGAATGGCTGAGGCATGTCCTGATCGGCATTTGTGCCTGAAAACACGGCCGACCAATTTAGTCAATCATGACTTCCATGAAGGGCGCTCCGAACCCGGAAACTTAATTTGGCCAATCGTGAAATACACGAAGGACGCTCCGAATCCAGAGACTTATTCGGCCGTAAGGGGTCATGCACCAAAGGGGGCTCCGAATCTGGAGACCTAATTTGGCCGATTGTGATATCTATGATGGGCGCTCCAAATCCGGAGACTTAATTTGGCCAATCGTGATATCCATGAAGGGCGCTCCGAATTGGGAGGCTTATTCGACCCTAAGGTGTCATGCACCAAAAGGGGCTTTGAATCCGGAGACTTAATTTGGCCAATCGTGATATCCACGAAGGGCGCTCCAAATTCGGAGGCTTATTCAGCCCTAAGGTGATGAACCAAAGGGGGCTCAGAATCTGGAGACTTAATTTGGCCAATCGTGATATCCACAAAGGGCGCTCCGAATTCGGAGGCTTATTCGGCCCTAAGGTGTCATGCACCAAAGGGGGCTCCGAATCTGAAGACTTAATTTAGCCAATCGTGACATCCACGAAGGGCACTCCGAATTCGGAGGCTTATTTGGCCCTCAGGTGATGCACCAAAAGGGGGCCCCGAATCTGGATACTTAATTTGGCCGATCGTGATATCTACGAAGGGCGCTCCGAATCCAGAGACTTAATTTGGCCAATCGTGATATCCACGAACGGCGCTCGGAATTCGGAGGCTTATTCGGCCCTAAGGTGTCATGCACCAAAGGGGGCTCCGAATTCGAAGACTTAATTTGGCCAATTGTGATATCCACGAAGGGCGCTCCGAATTCGGAGGCTTATTCGGCCCTAAGGTGATGCACCAAAGGGGGCTCCGACTCCGGAGACTTATTCAGCCCTAAGGTGTCATGCACCAAAGGGGGCTCCGAATCCGGAGACTTAATTTAGCCAATTGTGACATCCACAAAGGGCACTCCGAATTCGGAGGCTTATTCGGCCCTAAGGTGTCATCCACCAAAGGTGGCTCCGAATCCGGAGACTTAATTTAGCCAATCGTGACATCCACGAAGGGTGCTCCGAATTCGGAGGCCTATTCGGCCCTCAGGTGATGGACCAAAGCGGGCTCCGAATTCGGAGACTTATTCGGCCCTAAGGTGTAATGAACCAAAGGGGGCTCCGAATCCGGAGACTTAATTTAGCCAATCGGGACATCCACGAAGGGCGCTCCGAATTCGGGGGCTTATTCGGCCGTAAGGTGTCAGGCACCAAAGGGGGCTCCGAATACGGAGACTTAATTTGGCCAATCGTCTTATCCACGAAGGGCGCTCCGAATTTGGAGGTTTATTCGACCCCAAGGTGTCATGCACCAAAGGGGGCTCCGGATCTGGAGACTTAATTTGGCCAATCGTGATATCCACGAAGGCACTCCGAATTCGGAGGCTTATTCGGCCCTAAGGTAATGCACCAAAGGGGGCTCAGAATCTGGAGACTTAATTTGGCCAATCGTGATATCCACGTAGGGCGCTCCGAATTCGGAGGCTTATTCGGCCCTAAGGTGTCATGCACCAAAGGGGGCTCCGAATCCGGAGACTAAATTTTGCCAATCGTGACATCCACGAAAGGCGCTCCGAATTCGGAGGCTCATTCGGCCCTCAGGTGATGCACCAAAAGGGGGCTCCGAATCTGGAGACTTAATTTGGTCGATCGTGATATCTACGAAGGGCGCTCCGAATCCGGAGACTTAATTTGGCCAATCGTGATATCCGCGAAGGGCGCTCCGAATTTGGAGGCTGATTCGGCCCTAAGTTGTCAGGCACCAAAGGGGGCTCCGAATCCGGAGACTTAATTTAGCCAATCGTGACATCCACGAAGGGCGCTCCGAATTCGGAGGCTTATTCGGCCCTCAGGTGATGCACCAAAGGGGGCTCCGAATCCGGAGACTTATTCATCCCTAAGGTGTTATGCACCAAGGGGGGCTCCGAATCCGGAAACTTTATTTAGCCAATCGTGACATCTACGAAGGGCGCTCCGAATTCGGGGGATTATTCGGCCCTAAGGTGTCATGCATCAAAGGGGGCTCCGAATCCGGAGACTTAATTTGGCCAATCATCATATCCACGAAGGGCGCTCCGAATTCGGAGGTTTATTCAGCCCTAAGGTGATGCACCAAAGGGGGCTCCGAATCCGGAGACTTATTCGGCTCTAAGGTGTCACGCACCAAAGGGGGCTCCGAATCCAGAGACTTAATTTAGCCAATCGTGACATCCACGAAGGGCTCTCCGAATTCGGAGACTTATTCGGCCCTAAGGTGTCATGCACCAAAGGGGGCTCCGAATCCGGAGACCTAATTTGGCCAATCGTGACATCCACGAAGGGCGCTCTGAATTCGGAGGCATATTCAGCCCTCAGGTGATGCACCAAAGGGGGCTCCGAATCCGGAGACTTATTCGGCCCTAAGATGTCCTGCACCAAAGGGGGCTCCGAATCCGGACACTTAATTTAGCCAATCGTGACATCCACGGAGGGCGCTCCGAATTCAGAGGCTTATTCGGCCCTAAGGTGTCATGCACCAAAGGGGGCTCCGAATCTGGAGACTTAATTTGGCCAATCGTCATATCCACAAAGGGCGCTCCGAATTCGGAGGCTTATTCGGCCCTAAGGTGATGCACCAAAGGGGGCTCCGAATCCGGAGACTTATTCGGCCCTAAGGTGTCATGCACCAAAGGGGGCACCGAATCCGGAGACTTAATTTAGCCAATCGTGACATCCAGGAAGGGCGCTCTGAATTTGGAGGCTTATTCGGCCCTAAGGTGTCATGCACCAAAGGGGGCTCCGAATCCGAAGACTTAATTTAGCCAATCGTGACATCCACGAGGGGTGCTCCGAATTCAGTGGCTTATTCGGCCCTCAGGTGATGCACCATAGGGGGCTCCGAATCTGGTGACTTAATTTAGCCAATCGTGACATCCACGACGGGCGCTCCAAATTCGGAGGCTTATTCGGCCCTAAGGTGTCATGCACCAAAGGGGGCTCCGAATCTGGGGACTTGTGTTTGTTTCCTGATGTGCGCCCCACTGGGAATTGATTTTGAATGATGAAGGAAAAAAGATAGATCGTATTGCAGAAGCGAAATATATTTACAAGTATCAAAGCCCACAGGTCGGGTCAGTGACGGGGTTTTCATAAATGCTCTGCCTGCGCCGATTGAGGGGTGCCGCGTATTTCTTCAATGCCGTGACCTGTTGGGAAGCGCACCAACTGATGATAGGTGCTTGGGACGGCCTTCATAAGATGTAGCCAGGTTCGCCCCATGATGGCATTATACGGTGAAGGGAGCTTTACGACCAGGAATTCCACCTCGACTGTTCTGGAGCCCGCTCGCACAGGTAACGTGATCTTCCCTAATGGGTACTCGGGATTCGTATTAAAGCCGTACAACGGGTGTGGTGCCGGATACAAATCCGACTCGTTAAAGCCAAGCTTTACGAAGGTTTTGTAATACATGACCTCTGAAGTACTCCATGGATCAATGAGAATGTGTTCAATGGTGAACCGATTTACACGTAGCCTGATGACCAACGGATCGATGTGAGAGGCCGGTTTGCCGCTGAGGTCGTAGTCACTGAACGTAATTGTTGGAACTCCACTGGGCCGTCTGGTCTGAGTATATTGCTCTTGAGGGATTGGATGCGCTTCAACTGCGTGCATGGTCCGGGGCGCCGACAGGCTGTAGATTATATGGATCACGCCAAGCGGAGGGGAGTCTTGCCTCAAGGCAAGCACCTTGGTTGGCTTGTCCTTGCTCACGTATTGCTACAGTCGGCCGTCTTGCACCAGTTCTTCCAAATGATCCTTTAATGCGTAACAACTCTCAGTTTCATGGCCGTGATCTTTGTGATACTGGCACTGTCTATCCCTTCTCCGCATGTCAGGAGGTCCCACCATTTTTTACGGCCATTTGAAGAATGGAAGGTGTTGGATTTTGGTCATTATCGCGGTGATTGGTTGTGACAGTTCTGTGTACTTCTTGTCGGCTCACCTCGAACGTCTACTGTCGACTTGTAGTTGTTCATTCGTCCGATGGGAGCATTGATCGCTCGATCGGCGAGAATCCCTCCTCTTGTCTCGTTTAGCACGCTGTCGCAGCTCAGGGCTCAGAGGTGGCGCGGAACTTATTGGTTGAGTAGTTTCAGGAGGTGGCATTTTGGTGGACACTTGTCTGGCTTTAATCCTCAAGGCATCATCTTCTACTTTGCAGTATTCTTCGACTTTCTTCATCAACGCCCAGACTGTTTTAGGGGGTCTTCTGGTTAGGGAGTTGCGAAGAGCACTGTCAAGATGCCGTCCCATTTTGAAGGCAGTGATGGCCATGGAGTCGTTGCAAGCGTCGTCAGTGAGATTGAAGCATTTCCAATATCGCGCCGAATACGCTCTGAGCGTTTCTCCTGACTGGATTTGCATGGCCCAGAGAGAGTCGGCCTATTTCGGCTGTACCTCGTTGGTGATGAACCTGGCCCTGAAGGATTTTTTTAATTGATGGAAGCTTCTAATTGAAGCCGGCTCCAGCTTGTAATACCATCTGACAGCCAATGGCCCCAGACTACTGGGGAATATTCAGCACATGAGGGCTTCGCTGTCTGCATGTAACGTCATGGCCTGCTTGCAGTGACGTATATGATCATTGGGGTTTGATTTTCCGTCGTAGAGAGTAAATGACAGAGCTTTGAACTTCTTGGGCAAGGCCGCCCTTGCAATACGTCGGATAAAAGGATCGTGCCGGTCCTCATCGTCTGAACTGCTTGTTCTGCGCTTGTTTCTTGTATGTAGACTCTTTTCAGAGGAGCTGGAAGTGTCGGATCGTCCCTTATTGTCATGCTTCGTGGATAATGAGTTAGAGTCGCTATCGGTTTCCCTTGGTCGGGCTCGAGGTCGTTGTCCTCCTGCCCTCACAGGTCGTTCGGGGTCCTGGCGCGCGGCTTCTCTGGATTTTGCTACTTCCAGGGCCAAATCTTGACGGAGACGTTCGTTTTCTGCGATCATATTTTCCAGCCTTTGTTCATTCTGCTTAGCTTGTTCCACGATGGCTTGCATTGTTTGCTGCGCCGAAGTTGTTGGTGAATCAAAATTCAAGGCGCGTCTTGCAATGATGGTTTCCTTCCCAAGCATATTTGTCGGAGTTAGGTCGTCTCTCTGTGTGGTCTCGTCGGTGGCTATCAGAGGATCTTCAGTCACGCCTGCCATGGATGTATTTGAGTATTCCCACAGACGGCGCCAAATGTGAGGAAGTGGTTTGGAAATACTCTTCGGCTCCTGGAGACGCTAATGATCCTCAGCTAGTCACTTGCAAAGACACAAACACTCCGGTTGGTGGTGCCGGAATTAGCACTCCGACGGACAAGTCAGTTCTACTACTCAAGAAAGCTTGTCTACTAAGTTTTGTGAAGTGATTCTTACATAACTTTTCGAGTCCGTTGTTCCTATATTTATACCTGTTTCTTTTGGTCCTCGGGGCCAAGGCCTGCTTTTCAATCATTACCCTTTCCAATATTCGGCTCTAAGAATATTTCTTTATTCGGCCTACTTATCGTATTCGGCCCCTTACTCTTGCAGGACGCAGCCGGTTACTGTTGGCCTTCCAAAATATGCCCCCTCCGACTTTGCCAAGTATTCGGCTCCCACAACAATCTACTTTTACTACAATCTGCATTCCGGCATAAAAAAATTAAATTATAATCTGCTATTACTCCAATTTGTATTCTAGCATAAAAAAATATTTACAATCAGCTATTACTACAATATGTATTCTAGCATTAAAAAAAATTTACAATTTGCAGCCACAATAAAACTTATAAAATTAAAAAAAAAAAATCCAATCTACACAATTTGATGCATTGTTCTGTATCAAACACAAATAAAATAAAACACAATAACAATGGTTTCTCCTTAAATAAACCTTGAATCCATATCCAATCCGCATAATTTGATGCTCTATTATGTATCAAACACAAAAATAGTGGAGTCTCCTTAAATAAACCTTGAATCCATTTCAATTTAATTATCAAAAATAAAGCAAAAGGGTGGCCCACTAGATAAATGTTTACATTTCAATTTTGTGGGCGTGGTTCCGAATGACTGAAAAAATCAAACAAACTATCATTACGAAAGACCGACTCAGCTACCATGGGACTATGCTTTACTAGATCAAATCCTAATCCCTGCAAAAAAAATAAAAATAAATAAATAAATAAGGAAATGCATTGGAATTAAATACACATGTATGTAAAACAAAAAATCTAGATTAAAAACAAGTATATTACTGTAACAAGCCCGCGGGGGACCTCGCTACAGCTCGGACTCGACTTTGTCAGTCACGGTTCTAAGTCTGAACCAAAGAGTCCAAATCCGGCAAATCGTTTTGAGAAAAACAGATTTTTTTGAAAGAAGTGCCAAACATGGACTGCTTTGCCAGATACAGAGTCGCCACCTAAATATTTTAAAAATGGGGAATTTAGGAAACCCTGACTCAGTGCCGAAGGCCACATGTCCGTCATCACCGGAGTTGTCTCAGCTCGGGAGCTTGGGTACGATCGGGGAAGGTCAGCTATGAGCACCCCCTTTCGCCCGGTCCGAAGACCGGCCTCTACTAACCGTGATATCCGTATTTGAAAACTTTATGTGTTCTTATTCCATTTATTAGCCTAGAATTACTATGTTATGCGCACAGCAAACAAGTATAGACTAGATTGCCTAATTTGGAAATAAGGAAGAGATGGTGCACCAACTCCA